AGAATGCCTCCCCGGAAACTACAGCAGATATAGATCAATGAAAAAGACATAGAAGAAAAGGAAGGGTAAGGAACAATATAGAAGAAAAGGAGGAGAAAAGGGAAGAGATAAGATCGGAAAAGAGACAAGGGCACTCCAGGTTCCCTGCGGGTCAGAAACATATGGCCACAGTGGGGAAAACAACAGATAGAATGCCTCCCCGGAAACTACAGCAGATATAGATCAATGAAAAAGACATAGAAGAAAAGGAAGGGTAAGGAACAATATAGAAGAAAAGGAGGAGAAAAGGGAAGAGGATAAGGTCGGAAAAGAGACAAGGGCACTCCAGGTTCCCTGCGGGTCAGAAACATCTGGCTACAGTGGGGAAAACAGCAGATAATCAGCAGATAGAATGCCTCCCCGGAAACTACAGCAGATATAGATCAATGAAAAAGACATAGAAGAAAAGGAAGGGTAAGGAACAATATAGAAGAAAAGGAGGAGAAAAGGGAAGAGGATAAGCTCGGAAAAGAGACAAGGGCACTCCAGGTTCCCTGCGGGTCAGAAACATCTGGCTACAGTGGGGGAAACAACAGATAGAATGCCTCCCCGGAAACTACAGCAGATATAGATCAATGAAAACGACATAGAAGAAAAGAAAGGGTAAGGAACAATATAGAAGAAAAGGAGGAGAAAAGGGAAGAGGATAAGGTCGGAAAAGAGACAAGGGCACTCCAGGTTCCCTGCGGGTCAGAAACATATGGACAGTGGGGAAAACAGCAGATAGAATTCCTCCCCGGAAACTACAGCAGATATAGATCAATGAAAAAGACATCGAAGAAAAGGAAGGGTAAGGAACAATATAGAAGAAAAGGAGGAGAAAAGGGAAGAGGATAAGCTCGGAAAGGAGACAAGGGCACTCCAGGTTCTCTGCGGGTCAGAAACATATGGCTACAGCAGGGAAAACAACAGATAGAATGCCTCCCCGGAAACTACAGCAGATATAGATCAATGAAAAAGACATAGAAGAAAAGGAAGGGAAAGGAACAATATAGAAGAAAAGGAGGAGAAAAAGGGAAGAGGATAAGATCGGAAAAGAGACAAGGGCACTCCAGGTTCCCTGCGGGTCAGAAACATATGGCTACAGTGGGGGAAACAACAGATAGAATGCCTCCCCGGAAACTACAGCAGATATAGATCAAGTAAAAAGACATAGAAGAAAAGAAAGAGAAAGGAACAATATAGAAGAAAAGGAGGAGAAAAGGGAAGAGGATAAGGTCGGAAAAGAGATAAGGGCACTCCAGGTTCCCTGCGGGTCAGAAACATATGGCTACAGTGGGGAAAACAGCAGATAATCAGCAGATAGAATGCCTCCCCGGAAACTACAGCAGATATAGATCAATGAAAAAAGACAGAAGAAAAGGAAGGGTAAGGAACAATATAGAAGAAAAGGAGGAGAAAAGGGAAGAGGATAAGATAGGAAAAGAGACAAGGGCACTCCAGGTTCCCTGCGGGTCAGAAACATCTGGCTACAGTGGGGGAAACAACAGATAGAATGCCTCCCCGGAAACTACAGCAGATATAGATCAATGAAAACGACATAGAAGAAAAGAAAGGGTAAGGAACAATATAGGAGAAAAGGGAAGAGGATAAGGTCGGAAAAGAGACAAGGGCACTCCAGGTTCCCTGCGGGTCAGAAACATATGGCTACAGCAGGGAAAACAACAGATAGAATGCCTCCCCGGAAACTACAGCAGATATAGATCAATGAAAAAGACATAGAAGGAAAGGAAGGGTAAGGAACAATATAGAAGAAAAGGAGGAGAAAAGGGAAGAGGATAAGATCGGAAAAGAGACCAGGGCACTCCAGGTTCTCTGCGGGTCAGAAACATATGGCTAGAGTGGGGAAAACAACAGATAGAAGGCCTCCCCGGAAACTACAGCAGATATAGATCAATGAAAAAGACATAGAAGAAAGGAAGGGTAAGGAACAATATAGAAGAAAAGGATGAGAAAAGGGAAGAGGATAAGGTCGGAAAAGAGACAAAGGCATTCCAGGTTCCCTGCGGGTAGGAAACAAATGGCTACAGTGGGGAAAACAACAGATAGAATGCTTCCCCGGAAACTACAGCAGATATAGATCAATGAAAAAGACATAGAAGAACAGGAAGGGTACGGAACAATATAGAAGAAAAGGAGGAGAAAAGGGAAGAGGATAAGGCTACAGCAGATATAGATCAATGAAAAAGACACAGAAGAAAAGGAATCGTAAGGAACAAATAGGAGAAAAGGAGGAGAAAAGGGAAGAGGATAAGGTCGGAAAAGAGACAAGGGCACTCCAGGTTCCCTGCGGGTCCAAACATGTGGCTACAGTGCGGAAAACAACAGATAGAAGGCCTCCCCGGAAACAACAGCAGATATGGGTCAATGAAAAAGACAGAGAAGAAAGGGAAGGGTAAGTAACAATATAGAAGAAAAGGAGGAGAAAAGGGAAGAGGATAAGGTCGGAAAAGAGACAAGGGCACTCCAGGTTCCCTGCGGGTCAGAAACATCTGGCTACAGTGGGGAAAACAACAGATAGAATGCTTCCCCGGAAACTACAGCAGATATAGATCAATGAAAAACACATAGCAAAAAAGGAAGGGTAAGGAACAATATAGAAGAAAAGGAGGAGAAAAGGGAAGAGGATAAGGTCGGAAAGAGACAAGGGCACTCCAGGTTCCCTGCGGGTCAGAAACATATGGCTACAGTGGGAAAAACAGCAGGTAGAATGCCTCCCCGGAAACTACAGCAGATATAGATCAATGAAAAAGACATAGAAGAAAAGGAAGGGTAAGGAACAATATAGAAGAAAAGGAGGAGAAAAGGGAAGAGGATAAGCTCGGAAAGGAGACAAGGGCACTCCAGGTTCTCTGCGGGTCAGAAACATATGGCTACAGCAGGGAAAACAACAGATAGAATGCCTCCCCGGAAACTACAGCAGATATAGATCCATGAAAAAGACAGAAGAAAAGGAAGGGTAAGGAACAATAGAAGAAAAAGAGGAGAAAAGGGAAGAGGATAAGATCGGAAAAGAGACAAGGGCACTCCAGGTTCCCTGCGGGTCGGAAACATATGGCTACAGTGGCGAAAACAACAGATAGAATGCCTCCCCGGAAACTACAGCAGATATAGATCAATGAAAAAGACATAGAAGAAAAGGAAGGGTAAGGAAAACATATAGAAGAAAAGGAGGAGAAAAGGGAATAGGATAAGGTCGGAAAAGAGACAAGGGCACTCCAGGTTCCCTGCGGGTCAGAAACATTTGGCTACAGTGGGGAAAACAACAGATAGAATGCCTCCCCGGAAACTACAGCAGATATAGATCAATGAAAAAGACATAGAAGAAAAGGAAGGGTAAGGAACAACATAGAAGAAAAGGAGGAGAAAAGGGAAGAGGATAAGGTCGGAAACGAGACAAGGGCACTCCAGGTTCCCTGCGGGTCAGAAACATCTGGCTACAGTGGGGAAAACAACAGATAGAATGCCTCCCCGGAAACTACAGCAGATATAGATCAATGAAAAAGACATAGAAGAAAAGGAAGGGTAAGAACAATATAGAAGAAAAGGAGGAGAAAAGGGAAGAGGATAAGATCGGAAAAGAGACAAGGGCACTCCAGGTTCCCTGCGGGTCAGAAACATATAGCTACAGCAGGGAAAACAACAGATAGAATGCCTCCCCGGAAACTACAGCAGATATAGATCAATGAAAAAGACATAGAAGAAAAGGAAGGGTAAGGAACAATATAGAAGAAAAGGAGGAGAAAAGGGAAGAGGATAAGATCGGAAAAGAGACCAGGGCACTCCAGGTTCTCTGCGGGTCAGAAACATATGGCTACAGTGGGGGAAACAACAGATAGAATGCCTCCCCGGAAACTACAGCAGATATAGATCAATGAAAAAGACATAGAAGAAAAGGAAGGGTAAGGAACAATATAGAAGAAAAGGGGGAGAAAAGGGAAGAGGATAAGGTCGGAAAAGAGACAAGGGCACTCCAGGTTCCCTGCGGGTCAGAAACATATGGCTACAGTGGGGCAAACAACAGATAGAATGCCTCCCCGGAAACGACAGCAGATATAGATCAATGAAAAAGACATAGAAGAAAAGGAAGGGTAAGGATCAATATATAGAAGAAAAGGAGGAGAAAAGGGAAGAGGATAAGGTCGGAAAAGAGACACGGGCATTCCAGGTTCCCTGCGGGTCAGAAACATATGGCTACAGTGGGGAAAACAGCAGATAGAATTCCTCCCCGGAAACTACAGCAGATATAGATCAATGAAAAAGACAGAAGAAAAGGAAGGGTAAGGAACAATATAGAAGAAAAGGAGGAGAAAAGGGAAGAGGATAAGATCGGAAAAGAGACAAGGGCACTCCAGGTTCCCTGTGGGTCAGAAACATATGGCTACAGTGGGAAAAACAAGAGTCAGAATGCCTACGGAAACTACAGCACGTATAGATCAATGAATACAGACATAGAAGAAAAGGAAGGGAAAGGAACATTATAGAAACAAAAGGACAAGGAAATGGAAGAGGATAAGATCGGAAAAGAGACAAGGGCACTCCAGGTTCCCTGCAGGTCAGAAATGTGTCTACAGTGGAAAAACAACAGATAGAATGCCCCCCAGAAACTACAGCAGATATAGATCAATGAAAAAGACATAGAAGAAAAGGAAGGGCAAGGAACAATATAGAAGAAAAGGAGGAGGCATTCTAACTGTATTTCGCCTCTAAATTACCAGTCAACACTTACATTTTCTTACCAATTTTGGCGCCGCATTCTAACTGTGTTTCTGCATATTTACAGGTGTTTCCTCAGTTAGAATGCGACTGCCGTGGGGGGGGGGGCCAAACGGGCCACCATCACGCGAAGCCAAAACCGCATTCTAACTTTGTTTTTAACGGTATAATATGTATATGTATATATATATATGTGCATATTAACATCATGATAATCATTCAACCAGGAGAGAAAACATCGGCAGGAGACCCTTGGGAGCTTCAACGAAGACCTGGCCCAACAGCTGCTGATTGCCATCCTCCCAGCCACAGGGCACTCGGTTGTGGTGGCCATGCGGCCCAAGGGGGGCAAGGTGCTCCGCTGGGGGGGAAGGGCTGGAGAATTCAGAGATTTCCTGGGGAAAATGGGGTGAAACCATGTTAAACCAGGTGAAACTTCAGAATTTCGAGATGTCAAGGGATTGGACTCTGAGAGAGGGATTCAGTTGGTTCATGTTGGACGATTCAATGTCTGAAAGCGCTGCAGCGAGGTGATGTTGGGGCCGAGGATCCCAATCCACTATTATATTATAATATAAGATCTATGAAGAAGTGCATCTGTGTTTTTACTCTGTAAAGGAAGCACAATTGGTTGTAGCGACTAGACAAACGTTTCAATTCAAATCCTACTAGATAATGACAAGGATTGGGATTGCTATCGTGATTGGTGGTTTCCTTATTTTGGGGACGCACAACGCCAGGTTCAGGTGCAAAGCTCCTGAACCGAAACACAAAGTGGGGACCCAAAAAGTGGCACTGGTGCTGCGCTGGAATCGGAAGCTGGGAGATCCAATTAGGAATGATGATGTGTACCTTCAAGAACTATGATTCATGATACTTACAACTATAGTGGATTGGATTTATAAACCAACTTACAACTGGGGGGCACATTGTAGGTCTCCATGAGTCACTTTTTGGACACTCATGCTGGAATATACTGGCTTGCTAGAAGTCAGATTTGTCCCAGCGTATGCAAATGTATGCAATAATATGCAATTATGAAGTAAATTACAGAAATGGATATGATAATTCATGACTGTTGATTTTCCATCCAGCCATGTTTAACTACCAGAGGGTATTTGGTGTGATCAAAATCCATGGTCGGAGATATGTCTTTTGCGAGTTGTTAAGATACGCCATGATACGCCACATTTCTATTTTAGTTTCTTAGATGTTGCATGCGCACATACCCGAATCATGTATGTATATATATATATATATACACTGTATATGTATATGAAACATATGGATACCTTTTTGTTTAACTGCAAACATACCCAAGCAATCACCCATTGATGTTGATGATTGTTGATGGGCCAGCACCATGGGTGTCATGGTGTTTCTCCCATTTTTCCCCACCTGCCAGGTGAGGGTTGTTAGATTTTATGTCAGTTGCCTGCTCCTCCTCTCCTCTCCTCATCATCTCCTCCTCATCTCCTCCTCCTCTCCTCCTCCTCCTCCTCGTCGTCCTCCTCCTCGTCGTCCTCCTCGTCCTCCTCGTCCAACTGCGACCCTCGACGCACAGTGTTCTCTGTCGGACCTCAACCACGACCATCCACGCCCAGTGTTCTCTGTCGGACCTCAACCACGACCATCCACGCCCAGTGTTCCCTGCCGGACCTCAACCACGACCATCCCCGCCCAGTGTTCCCTGCCGGACCTCAACCACGACCATCCACGCCCAGTGTTCCCTGCCGGACCTCAACCGCGAGTATCCCCGCCCAGTGTTCCCTGCCGGACTTCAACCACGACCATCCACGCCCAGTGTTCCCTGCCGGACCGCAACCGCGAGTATCCACGCCAAAAGATATGCCACATAGAGTGCCAGAAGATATGCCAGATAGAATGTTAGAAGATATGCCAGATAGAATGCCAGAAGGTATGCCAGATAGAATGCCAGATAGAATGTCAGCTAGAATGCCAGGAGATATGCCAGATAAAGTGCCAGAATGTTTGCCAGATAGAATGCCAGCAGATTTGCCAGATAATATGCCAGAAGATATGCTAGATAGAATGCCAGATGGAAATGCCAGAAGATTTGCCAGATAATATGCCAGAAGATATGCCAGATAGAATGCCAGATGGAATGCCAGAAGATATGCCAGAACATATGCCAGAAGATATGCCAGAACATCTGCCAGAAGATATGCCAAAACATCTGCCAGAAGATATGCCAGGTAGAATGCCAGAAGATATGCCAGATAGAATGCCAGATCGAATGCCAGAAAATATGTCAGATAGAATGCCAGAAGATTTGCCAGTAACAAAATGTATAAATGTCATGGTGGGGATCACACGAAGTAAAGTAATTTGTTGACATTTGTGTGGTGTCTTCTGGATCTGCAATGCGGCATTGGTCCCTACTTTAAATGTCTGAAGCTCAACAGCTTTCAAAACAGGGGTAAGTGGAGATCAATGGAGATCAATGTTTATGTCGATTGTGTTTTTGAAATCGCGAGTTGGACTGTCGCTTCATTCTTCCCTTGAGTTGCCTGTTTCACTGTTAACTTTTGCAGCATCTACGACTCCAAAAATGCACCATTTGGCTCAAAATCCAGGTAACGGTAATGGTGGCAACTATGATAAAGTTTGGCATCTACATTCGCAAGTAAACAGAATTCCCATGCACACTGAGGTACATTACTGAAGAATTGTTGCTTTTGCACATGAGTTGGCAGTTTCATTGCGACTTATCATGACTTGTCA